GGATCACAAAATTCCTTCAAGCCACAGCTCCATACAGACTTAAATAGAAACCACTATTAAAGTTTCTGAGAGAATGAACTCCTTTCTGAGTACACCTAAATCTATTATTCTGCCTTGGTAGGTTTTCTGCAAGTGTCCTGGTGTTACATATAATCTTCTGCAGTAATTGCCAGCTTTGTGTGGTGACAGTAAAGAAGAATTGGAGTGACAGGATGAAACACAATGAGATCCAAGCTTGTAATGTTTTCTTTCTGATTTTACACAATATGTCAGGCGGGAGGCTTCGAGTTTAAAATTTTAAGCTTTGAGGGTTTTTTCCCCCGGGATTTCCAATCCATCCTAAAATGCCTAAGTTCCAAAACATGCTAGGGACATAATGCTGGCTTGAGGGGAGGGTAGGAGAAAGTGAGGAAAAAAAAAAGAAAAGAAACATGTATTGATACACACACCCACATGAGTAGAGCATGTTATGCCCAGAGCATCTACAGAATGTGCTGTCATAAGAGCAGTGTTAATCACCTGATTTGGACACAAAAAGCAGAGCAAAGGGAAACAGTGGTGCTTAACAGAAGTCCTGGAGATCAGTTGTGTGCTCTGCCCGTGATGCCTGTGTTTCTCCATACAGACTTCTGAGGCAGAGTTTTCTTGGAGGTTTAAGAAAATTGCACTAAGAATATTCTACTTTGATATTTTGCAGAGTAATGTATTCTGCCAGACAAAGGCCTTTTTACTTATCTTTCTGTACATCAAAGTGTGTTTTCCCCTTGAAATATGAGAAGCTGACAACTGTACAACAGCAGCAGGGATCTGGGTTCACAGAGTAAGCAGAGTTTCATTATGCTGCTTTATTTGGATGGGCAACTGTGAGAAATAGCTTGTGATGTATAAAATATCTGAGTCTCTTTTTGTACTTTAAGACATTGTTATCTCTATTTGAAGTTGGCTAGTGAAGGTCAGTCAGGCTAACTGCTTGCAACAGAATATGCTGTCTCTGTTGGTAGATACTCTTCAAAGTTCATTGCATCCAGCAAGCTAATTTTGTAAATACCACCCATCATGGCAAATTACATACAGTTAGTGGGAGGGGGGAAAGGGAATGGTGTATTCTTTTCATTTAAAAAAGAAAATCAATTGTTGTTGTAAAGAGCATTGCATAGCTGTGATGAAAAGTGTAAGAAGTTAATTTGTTTAAGATTTGGTGTTGATCAGGAATGTCAAATTGCACTGCGGAAGTGATACATTCTATGATAACTGTAATACTGAAACTTTCACTCACTGATAACCATGGCAGTGATATACTGTGGTATTTTCATGACATTTCCTTTGCTTTACTTTGAAGTCTAGTTGGTTAAGTCAGGAAGTCTTTCTGTATTAGTAACACTGAAGTTACAGTGTTGTTTCTTCCTCTCTTTATGTTTTTTGTGTTTGTTGTTCAGTGAGAATGGAATGCTGACAGTGTAGGGGAGTGCTAATACTGGCAAGCAGTCACTTACTTCTCCAGCCTATCACATTTTGAAATGAAATCCATTTAAAAATGGGATTTTATATTAAGTAACATTTTAAAAGGAATCAGTAGGTTGTGCTCTACCTATTAAAAATAAATCTATGTCTTTCAGTAGTGTGTTGGGTTTAGGTTTTATTCTAGGGTTTATTCTCAAAGCTACATAAGCAGATGGTCCTGCCCCAGAAATATTTACAAACAAGCCCAATCCTTGGTAATTGTGCCTGATCTTGTGAAGAAAATTACTGATGTGTGTTGGACTTGCAGAATTAGTTTCTCAAGAGACCCTGTTGATTTTAAGAGAATTGATGTGTTGGCTGCACAGGAAAGGCATTCACATGTAGATGCAAGTGGGATATAGCACTGGCCCAGAGAGAGCCAGAGATCTTGTAACTCCCCCTTTTTACATTAACTGGTTTTCTGACTGATTTTTTTTCCACAATACACTCATTTCTACGTTATTATTCCCTACCTTGAATACTCTGAATAGCAGTCGTTGGCTTCCTTCAATGCAAGGAAATCTGATTACAGTGTTGCATCTTCAGTGTTTATATCACTAGTTATAATGTATCTAATTTAAGTAACTTTTTGGATGTGCTGGTACCTTTTTTGCTCAGTTTTTCTAGTTGCTTAGAGTTGCCTGTGTGAAGAGGAAGGCTACTAAAAACTTTCTAATTTATTTTACGTCGGTGAAAATGACTGATTAATTTAAAACTGATCCTGTTGAACTCACTGGCAATATTTATCCTTGTTCCACCAGATTGCAGCTACTTTAAAACCACAGCTCAAAGCAAAATACTTAGTTTTCAACACAACCACCAGTGGAATAATGAAGAAGATACAAAAATATCTACCTCTAAGCTGTTGCTTTAAAAGGTTATCTAAAAATATCTGCATAAACCAGCTAAAAGATTTTACCAGATTATAATCGGTAATTATTATGGAAACATCTGATTTGGAAAAACCCATGACACATCTCACATTAAAAAAAAAAAAAAAAAAAAAAAAAGGTAGAAAAAATATAAGCACTAATATTTCCATCAGTGCAGTGTTTAATGTCTCAGGGAAAGTGGGTCCTCAGTCAGCGAATACAGCTAAGTCTGTTTTGTGCTGTGGCAAATCCCATTGTGAAGAGGCTGTGAGTAATAAGAAGTGACAGCATAAGCATTTTCTGTTCAAAGTGATTTTACAGAAAGCATTATTTGCTGAGAAAAGTACACATATGGCTCCCATAATGCTGAAAGAGCAATGCTGTATCCATTTATTAGCACTAGTGTTGGGAGAGGAAGTTTTGCAAATGGTGTTCAGATTTAAAGCCTTTTTCTCTGCATTTCTATTCCATAAAACATCCTTAAAATCACAGGAATCAGACAGATAGGCAAGATCAAGGCAAGAGTGTCTGCCAAGGGGATGTTTGGACAGTTTGTGAAGATGAGGATGGTGTCAGTAGCTGCACCTGCTGCTAAGGGGTCACTCAAGAAGTCAAACAGCAGCAAAAATGCTCCTTCTTGGTGGAAGAGCCCATGGGCCAAGAGCAGCTGTAATTTACAGTTCAAAGGGTGAGGCAGACCCTTGGAAAAACCTGGAGAGAGGGGTTTGCCCTCATACCAAAAACTACATTAATACATTAATACATTAATACGTTTTGGTGTTGGTGCTTCAGATCTCTCTGCTCCTTCTCACTCGGGCCCTCTTCTTGCCCTAAGCTATTGTTCCTACAGCAATGCTCACATCCTTGTCACACCCTCCTGTCCTGTCCTGTCCTGTCCTGTCCTGTCCTGTCCCTACTCTGAGCCAGCCAATAATGGTTGGACTGGAATGAAAACCCAAGTAGTTTTGCTCTTACAACTTATGAATTTAAAGGATGAATTTGCCCCCTGTGGTATTTATATCTAAAGGAGTTTATTTTGGTCCGCCTGGGGGAATGGTTGGGGGGGTTTTTGTTTGTTTTTATTGCTTACCTTGGTTCTACAGCTTGTGGTTATAACCCTGATTCCTTGTGTGAGGCGTGCATGTTTGGCATGGACATTTCAATTTAAGTTAATACACATACATAATCAAATTCTAATATTCTGATTTCTGTAAATTGCTTACCAGTGTCTCACATTTACAAAACTGCCCAAAGGAAATACTCAGAGCTTCACTTCCCGAAGCCTGACACCTCTTAACTTTTCAGGGAAAACAAAGGTCCCTGTGCTAACACCTGTTAGTGCTTGATAGTTCAAAACCAAAATGCCAATAGCAACATAAGTGCAATTTTAAAAAAGTCCTCATGACAATCATGTCAAATTTGATAGCTTGATATTTGGGATTGGCACTAGGGTTTTATGTATCTATCAAAAACACAAATAATTTGAAAACTGTTTGCTTTGGAAGTTAGTTCTGTATTTGCAAATAAAGTGTCTTCATTTTTCTGAGTTATTGTAATTTACTGCCTGTCTTAGATGCTCCACAACCAAGAAGCCTAAAATAAAAGTCTAATTCTTCCCGTAGTAATTTGTTTTGGAAGAGATGGTTGAAGGAGTTGGAGGGTAGCAAAGGAGATTCAGGTCTCTCTCTCTTTCATGAATTCCAAAATTTCATTACAGGTCTTGATCACAAATGAAATGTTTCAAATACTTGTACTGCTTCCAGTAACCTCTTTCTCATCATCTCATAAAATTACCCCCAAGGAGAGTGAAGCTCAAATACTGATGGGTCTGAGTGTGTCACCAGTTATCTACTAAAGTGGAGACAATATTGTTTGTATTCAAGCATGAATTCCAATGACATTTAACAGAGTTAATTTTATCTTTATTTGGTATTACAAATTTTGCCTCATTCTGTTCACTCTGTTGCTTTCTTTGAAATGCCTCTCAAATTTCACTGGCACTGGACCATCGTTGGTGATTGCTGCCACATGCCTGTCTAGCATGAAAACATCTTTATTACTTCAGACAGTCTATCTTTAATGGCTTGGAGATATTTGCATCTGGCTTGGAATTATGGCAAGCCATAGTCATATTGAGAGAGCTGTTTGTTTGGTTTTAATGAGCATAAGCTACAGCTTACCATCAAGAAACTGCTTCAACTTAATAACACAGCAAATGACTTGTGCTGCTCAAATCCGTTCTGTCTGGGTGGTTTAATGGTTTAATAGGGGTGTGGGACCATTTTTAGCCATGGAGAATAAAGAGGGCTTCCATAGCATTAGTGGCATCTTCATTTTGTATCAGCTCCAGTTTTAGACCAGCCTTGTGGAGATATGCATTGCAGCAACAAAGTTGAAGCAACGCATGTTGAAACATTTAGCGGGGATTTATAAGGAGAGAATATACCATTAAAATCTTCACACAGAGGGGAGATCCTTCCACCTTTCATGTACAAATCATGGCAATTTTCCTTCCTCTTTTGGAGTGGCTGCTGTGTGTCTGATAAAATATATTAATGATGAATTATATGTCAAAAGAATTTACTCAGTGGTTGCTTTGCTAACACTGGTGTCATTTCTTCCCTACAGGTATTTCTGTAACAAAGAAGACTCATACATGTAAGTAATATCTTTTGATTTGGCATTCTCTCACAAATGGAATTTCTGTTAGGCTGTACTGTGGTGCTCAGACTAATTGATGTTAGTCTGGCCTGAGAAAGCTCCATTTTAAAAAATCTGGTGATTTTATCAGCCTTAAGGGTTTCAGTTCTTGCCCGAAGTGTTGTTGGATATACAATGTGTGTGTGGGAATATGTGGTACTCATATATCTGTTAAGTCAGAGGGCAGAAAAAGAAAGTTGTGAGGAAAGGCAGAATTCTGTACTGTATCTACTGTATCTACCTTACAGCTGGCTGATAATTAACATATCCAGAAAATACAGGTGAGGAGAATGGTTATTTTTATGTCTGTTATATATGCAGTATGATTCAAGTAAAAACAATTTAATTGTACATCTTCTGTCCCTTCCTGTGCACTAATCTATAAGATAAATCATTCTTTCCTTGTGCTTAAGGAACTCGATGAAAAAGTGGAAGTTCTTGTTTAGCTCTCAACCATCTAAGCAAGCAGTCCCCATAAGTGGTGGCCTTGGAAATGGCTGTGGATGTGTGCATTTATTTACATATAAATTTATTCCAAATCCTCATCAAAGACATCATTTCTGGGGATCAATTCTTATCTGCCTTGCAGGGAGCTTGAAGGACAATTCTGAGAAAATACTGGGATTTATAGCTGAAGGAGTATGTCGAGATTCTTCAGATACTGTGGAGGTTTGGAAATCTGGTAGTGCAAGAATTGTACTTGCCCGGGATCTGAGACAGGAGTAGGCTAAAGCTGAGGCTATTACTCTCATGAAAATCTTCTTGCAAAACAGGTGCTAGGCTGCTCAAAATTTACTGATATATATGCATTTTATGCATTTTGAAGTATTTTCACCACAGCTGCTAAGGTGTCATAAAGTGTCTTACATGGCTTTCATTCTTATTTCATTCCTGGTTTTGTAATACTCGTGGAATGAAAAATCTGAATTGAGATGGTGAATTCTCACTGTGTAAAGTTAAAAAGCAGATTTGAGAATTTCAAATGAGAAGCTGATTTTTGTGAGTTTTGAAACAAATTTTAAATGTCTCAGACTTTTAGAGCATGATGATCCTCCTTTGCTTAGGTGGGCTTGCTGCTTCATGCATTCTGAGGGCTGGACCCTCTTTGGCTGAATGTTGGTTTTGTTGAGCTTAATGAGAGCTGCAGACAGGCAGCTGAGGGCAGAATCTGACCCTGGTATTTTTGGTGAACATTTGACTGGGATTGACAGCACAGGACCCTGAAGTGTTCCATGTATCTACAGGCCAGGCAGTGTCCAGCTTCCTGGCACAGCCTTGCCCATGCCCCTTCTCTCGGGGCTGTGGGTGCTGGCTGTTTGTGCCAGCTCAGTCCTGTGGAGAGGTGAATGTTGGTTGGTAACACCCCCTGGCAATCAGCAAAAACCACCCTGGGTTTTGTAGAGCAGTGCCATGAACTGACCCACAGAGCCACAGCTCCAGCTCCAGTATTGGGAATTTTGTAGGGAAGATTAAGTGGTGAGCACAGGAAACATCCCCTGAGCCAGGCCACACTGGTGCAGTGTTGTCACCATGTACCTCAGCTGAAGCTGCTTCAGGCCTGTGATGAAAAAAAAGATGTGTTCCTCAGCTGTGAGAGATGATTAGTACTGCTCACCATACAAGGCCTTTCATCTAGTTCAAACAGAAATTAGGGTCCCAGTGTCTTTCATGTTGAGAACTCTGTGCTTTTCTGAGAGAACTGTCAAAGAGCAGTTCCCCGATTTGTTAATCAGTTGTCATGCAATTGCTGAAGCATGAACAGAAAAGTTGCCTGAATAATGGGAAGATAAGCTTGTCCATTAAGAAGAGATTAAAATAGAAGGAGCAATAAGCTGTAATTGGCATGATGAAAATGTAAGCTATGTTTGCCAGCAAATATGTATGAGGTTTCATTCTGTTTTGGTTGAAGTTCTTTTAAAATTCATTCCTGTTATGACAAATTCTTATAGAGTAGAAATGGATGTAAATTGTGCATCTTTGGCATTTCAACATCATACACAATAAGCTTTTTTTTCCTCTTGTTGCCTAGAATTAGGTTTTTTAATTGAATAGAAAAAGTAGCCAATAAAATTGATGGTTTTGGAATGAGTTAGAAAAAAATCATTTAATATAAACACCTAAATACAAGAATTACAAAGTCTGAGTTGTTAACAACTCTGAATCACAGAGAAAGAGTTTGTGCACCAACATAGGCTCTAGAATTTGCCTATCATTTTGCATCAGTATAAATAATTTATCCAAATGAAGTTACATAGAGTAAGACTTCTGCAAAGAAATTTTTAAAAAAATTCTTGCAAACTTTTTGTGTAATGTATATATATTGCCTGCTCTGATTTTTAGAAAAATGGTGAAATTGTCTTATTCCAAATTTACGATGTGTGGCATATGAGGGTGTTGACTGACTGTAAACTACGACATTTCTAATGACCTTTGATTTAATTAGGGAGAAAGAAATGGAGTGGAGAAAATGAGTGAAAAAGAGGAAAGAAATTAATGGAGGGAAAAAAAAAATTTAACATAATGCCAGAAAGTTTGATACATGATGCATTGCAGACATCAGATGAATCCTTTTCAGACTTCACCCTAACAGCTGTTTTAATTGTGAGGTTTCGAAATTGGTGGGGGTCTGTCTCCAGTACTTAATTTTTCCTGGGTTTATTGTTTGAAGGTCTGTGTACATTTTATCCCCTTCTTGACATCAATCTGTGATAAGTGTCCAGTCAGCTGAAACTGAACTCCTGTGCTGACGGCAGGTGCTCAGCTAGTTCTGAATTTAACAATATCTTAATATTTGTACACATGCAAAATAGTAGTGCTGAAGAAATGCAGGTTTTTCATAATGTAAATGTATAAATAAAACCTGAGAGATTTTTATCCTTTTTGAAGCAATTAATTTTATCCAAGTAGTCTATTTCATTGGTGCTTCTCCACATTTTCTCTTTATCACAGTTAAAATGTTTCAAAATCTGACACTTTTAAACAGGGAGTGCAATAGTCTTCCAAGGAGCACTGAGGGAATAAATGTTATCCACTCCAAAATGCCCTTCTTTGCTCATTTCAAGTTTAAGATTAAAAGGCTTTTGAGGAAAAATTCATGCCTTCTGCCTGTTTGTAGAATTATTCTCTTGAGCTCCCATGGCTATTTGTCAGGTTAACCATCACTTTGGATAAGCTGTAGTCTGTCAGATGGTAGAGGACAAGTCCTGTCTCATCTTCCATACAAAGTGGGACTTCTGGTCTTTCAGTTCTTTTTTGACTCGAGAAAGACATGACTGACATTTAGATTCTTTTCTGATCATTTGATTGGCAGTAATATTTGTAAAACAACCCTCTTCCTGCCATGTCTCATGCTCTGAAGAGAAAAGTACTCCAAGTGAATTGTAACTTTGCACAACTTCACCCTTTTTGCAAATTCAGAAAGGCATCTTTGGATCATTGATGATAAAAATCTGAAATTCTAGGAAACAGAAGGCTGCAAAGGACCTGGCATTTAATACTAACTGACTGGGCTTTAGGCTGTCCTGAAGTCTATAGTATTTTGTTTCTGGCATTTTAAATCTAAATCTTGCCACACTTCATATAATTAGTTTCATGGCCTCTACCAGACCACTTGTGACTCAGAGCTATCACACAATTCAATCACCTTATTTTTCTTCAGATCTCTGTTTTATCTTGGGCACTGACTTTCTTAAATGAATTTGAACTTGACTGCCTCTCAAAGTAAGGAGTTTCCTGTGGATGCACCCGGAAGGCGAATATTGTACTGAATCCAGGATGTACTGGAACCTTCTTTCTCTCACTATTTGAGTTGTAAAGAGCCACAGTCAGAAGTTTTGAAGGAGTTTGATTGCATAGCTGGAGTCCCTATCTGCACTGATGACCAGATGCATTCAGTCATTTGCTTACCTTGCATTCATAAGAGAGTAAAACGTGCTAAGATTTTTACAAGTCTTCCTCACAATTTTCTGTCCAGAGCTCCATTGGAATGTTGTTTCACAGCAGAAAAGGACCAGGAGCCCTGGCTCTGAGTGTCACACACATGTCAGAGCAGAGGTGGGGACCTGCAGGGGTGCTCTTACCTGGCTTGGATTAACCACGTGCTGCTTTGAGCTAGTGGCTGCTCACTGCACTCGACTTTGCAGTGGTAGTGCACCTCCAGTTCCCTGTCACCACAGTGTGGATCATGGCTTTTCTGAGCTGAGGCCAGAAGTGACAACTGCTTCATTCATTTAGACTAAGTTATCACCATTTGGAGAGAAAGAGCATGTTTTTTCTTGTGATTTATCAAGATATTTAAATTAATTTTTCTCAAACAACTATGTCAGTAGACATCTCTATATGTATTCCTTAATTTTGAGTGAACTGTTCCTTACTTAAATTGAAATTATCCTTTCAGTTAATTTCTGGCAGATAAGAAATGTTTCCAAAGCTAGATTCTGATTTTAATGACATGAACTTCTGCTGGAAAATAAAGTGGAAACTGTGCTTTTAATTTTTAGCACTAAATAAAACTATTTGCATGAAAAACTGGCAACTTTGTTGGCAAAGGGTAGGACTGAGCTCATCCCTTCTGCTATCCGAGATCCCAACCCTTTTCCTCACTCCCACATCATGCTCTGGGACTGTTCCTACACTCACCTGTAGGTGTTGGTCTCGGGGTGTATCTTGACTCGGTGTTCTTTGTTAAGCACGCAGGAACTCTGGACTAAGGGGGCAATTCACGTTTCAGGTTTGCACTGCACGTGGGAAGTCTTGATTGAAGCACAGGGAGGTCAGCTTGACTGCCCACTGTCCACGGTGTGTGACAAGAGCTGGGAGGCTGAGAGTGACAGAGTTCAGGTGTCTTCACCTGCCCCTTGTCCTGACAAGCCCCTGAGCCTTTGCCTGGACCTTGGAGTGCTGTGCCTGTATTGCTGCTACAACACAGCGAGCCAAAAAAAAGGAAAGCTTTGTTCATG